AAGCCGCGTCACACTGAATGTCGCTCTCAACTGTAGCGTGCCGATTCATCCCTAAAATATAAATACAGACACACAAATTGTAAATAAATTGCAATCTTACGCGAAATATGTCACAGATGTGTAGTGCTGTTGGGTTTTAATTGTTTTTGCCATTTGTGAAATTGCCGCTAATCCAGAAAAATGTTCCGCAAGAAAGCACTGATAAATTTACGCTATACTAATACTAGTTCGGGGGAACAGTTGTGAGATTACAGGGCCTATTCCTCGAATACGAGGTCTCTGATGACGTAATGCGAATACATTGTAGACGTTAAGTGCAAACGACACACATATGCCAGTGTGTTAAAGTTTCGCATCATCGCCAAACTTAACTAATTTCCTCCACCTGCTCCGAGGAGAATCACGAGTAGGACTAGTTGGTGGATGTTCGTTCTAGAATAATTGACAGCGCAACTGCCTGTATCTCACCCGTCACGCTGTCGAATTTTCTGCCCTATACTCTAAACTTTCCCTAACTGAAACATGGCTACATGCCGATGAAAGTACGAGAAGCAACTACATTTTGTCAACTTACGCAACAACGAAGAATTACTTTGAGTTATTAGTGAGCGAAGAGTCACTAGGTTTTTTTTTTTTGAAAAAACTCAAGGTAAGAAAAATAAGAAAGTAAAAGTTTAAAGAACATCTGCGTAACCGCAAACGCACACAACTTCAGTAGATTATTTTTTCGGCAGTAGCCTATACCACAAAAATTAGCGTGGGTTTTGTTTAAGAGGCACAGTGTTAGAGACCACTCAGCTGATCGGCACCTATGTTGTCTTGGCTCTTGTTTTCTTGCCAAGTTTTGCAGTTTTAACGTGAAAGTGTTTTAGGCCGGGCTCCACCAAGGCTTCAGTGACGTATTTCCGTCAATGACATTGCAAAAGTACATGCGATCAGAAGAGAAAAAAAAAAGTTCCGTCAACGGGAGTCAAACCGACGACCTCTCAGTCAGTGACAACATGTGCCGGGCGCGCTAAACACTGCGCCTCGGCCACTTCTCTGTTTCTTTATTGCAATGTTAATACATTGTATACATATAAACACGTGTCACACATCACCCACGAGCATGCATAAGGCTGGCTGCATTCACTTACGGACATGACTGTTTAAATATATTTAATATACAAAGCATTTCATCCATTGCCCCTCGGTGCTCCAGCACTTTTCACGTTCATGACCTGTTCAACAAAATACGCGTTAATCGATCATGCTTGGGGCTCAGCACTTCGTATATTCGTATGTGATCGTCATGGTCGAATGCGTTGTAGGCTTCACATATGCCTTTTATAACTACCTCTACCACTGCACTTTCATAATGGTATTGCTAAATTGTAGCAATCCACCATGATTGTGGCATCCCGATTAGTTCCTTCAACGCGCCGTTTCGAAGCGTCCGTCCTTTATATTCGGTGAGTTTCCAACGGGAGAAGTTCAACTTTGTCAACACCTTATCACACCACCAAACGGCGACCTTACACAAAGCGTCGGCGTGGCTCATAGCATCCACCCCTACAAAAATAGCTCCGCAGTGCGCCTGCTTTGACTGCAAGTAACTGCGTTCGCCACTTACGCTCGCCTAGCGAAAACCGTGGCTGACCGCCAGGGAAAACACAGCGCGCGTTACGTTTCCTTTTAACGGGCAATGGCGTTAAATAACTCGAACATGTCGCAAGTAGGCGAATGCAGCCCAAGTTCGGCGTGTAATCAGTCATGCTCTTCTGGCTGTCACATCGCCTTCTTTGGTTCCGCTCTCACCGTCAACTGCCGCAGCTACCACAGCCATCCATGACCATGGTCATGTTTGATCATTAATCCATCATAATCAAGCGTGCTATCCGTCAGAATGGAGATCTGTCACGGAGTGTCAAGTTGGGTGCATTTATGAAAAACGGTGTTTAGCTGTCAAAACACCAACACACATAGTCAAGCTCATTGATATAACTATCAATGTAATGTAACCATTAAACCACATCTATATGAAGATGCCTTACTTTCGTGTTATGCCGACTCTTTTGACGGATGGATCAACCATACAGAGCGTGAAACCGCGAGACTAGACAGGACAAAAAGTTGCAAGAATCACGTGTGCATGTGTGCCTCTTGTAACTGTTTGTACCATCTAAGCGCAATGTTTTGTCGTTCAGTATGTACCAACTGACCCACGAACAATCTGTGGATTAACCATGCTTTTTGTCCTTTCCTTTTTCGCCTCTAATACGTTCTTTTAAATGCGAACCATGTTTAGCGAACTTCCGGCTGTTTTAGCGTTTCTATCTACGTATGTGTCTATTATATCTATCTAGCTGCCTACGCCTGGATGCTTTCGTGATCGTTTCCTTGACCTTTTAACTATCTGAGGGTAAGATGGTTTAACGAATATGACTGTTTGCTCATGACATGAATAACGCGAGAAGGCCATATCGCACGTCTTTAAGCCACACCGTGGTGCTCTACTGGTTAAGGTACTCGGCTACTGATCCGCAGGTTGCGGGATCTAATCCCGGCTGCGGCGGCTGCATTTTCGATGCAGGTGAAAATGCTGTAGGCCCGGGTGTTCAGATTTGGGTGCACGTTATAGAAACCCAGGTGGTCGAAATTTCCGCAGCCCTCCACTATACGGCGCATCGTCTAATCACATGGTGGTTTTGGGACGTGAAACCCCGCATATCAATCATCATTCACACTTCGTTGAAATTGTTTGCGTCAGGCACGTGTGGCACATACCTGCCTAATGTGCAACTCGGTATGCGGATATGCGCAAAAGATAATGAAAAGCTTATATCTACCCAGAAACGTTCCTTTGACAACCTCCGTTGATTTTTCTACTAGAGAACCTAAATTTCTTTTATAAGTGATTTGTTCACTCCCAGATATACTTGCCAATTCGAATAGAGCTAAATGCTACGAACCTTCAACTTACATTAGTATGAAGCTTCCAGTTTCAGTTTGATGTTTGCATCATCAAAACAGCAATACTTTGTTTCTTCATCTGGCTTAATAGAAATATGGACACTAATATTCACTACCTTGCTCCATTTGAGTAAGACATTCTGGCTGGCCAGTTGGTTCATTGCGGTCAGACATTCTTAAACTGTGTTTGTAATGTTATCTGTGTAGTTAGTTACTCGTGTGCACGTATTTTCGCGCGGTATAGCAATATTTTTAGCATCGTGTGTCAACTGTATGCAATCATCGGGCTCCTAATCAGGAGTACAGTGCCATGGCTTGTTATCTACCACAACCTGTTTTCCTTACTATTGTGCAGCTGACGGTGCAGAAACTCTTGTTGATTGATATGTGAAGTTTAACGTCCCAAACCCACCATATGATTATGAGAGACGCCGTAGTGGAGGGCTACAGAAGTTTCGACCACATGGGGTTCTTTAACGTGCACCCAAATCTGAGCACACGTGCCTACAACATTTCCGCAGAAACTCTTGTCAATATCTACTTTGTGCAGGTCGACCATAACCACTTCAATATTGTGAGAATATGTGAAGAATCAAAACAAAGGTTTAGTGCTTTACTTCGTAGGGGGACCCTTGTATATTTTTAAAAATGTTAGTTATGTCGGCCAACTATGTGACGATTGACGATGCTAAATGTAGTTTTACATTATTCATTTTAACTGTGACATTAACATCACACATAGAACCTCAGCATCGTATTATCGCACATCATTAGATTATCCGGAATAGATAACTATAGAAACGCGGGTATTAGGCCTCAGCGCCCACTGACGTCAACGTGGGTAAATTCAACTAACTTGTCTGAACACCCTAAAATGTGTCACAAGATTCACGATTGAGACGGGCATCTAAAACCGGTGAAAAACAGTCATTCGCTCATGTTATTTCCAACATAAACATTTACTGTAAGCGATATAAATAGCAAGAAAGTCGTTTTCGACGTCTGCAAAAAATATATTCTAGCGCAGAAATCAACGCACAGGCAGTCGAGCAGTAGTCCTGTGCTCTCTGTCCGTGCGTTGCTTTGCGCTGAAATAATTTTACTTCGGATTCTATGCGCCAACTAGCCCATCAAAACGTTGTCCTAGGCCATTTTGACGCTTCATTGTTTTCAGTGCACAAATAGGCCATTCAAATTTTTTTTGATGCAAGCTGGAAAATTCATCCATTTTAGTCCATTCTCCGAAGTTCTACATAGGTAAGTCCAGTGCAAACTTTCTTTTTAATCAAGACACAATAATTGGGATTGTTTCCCAACAATTTTTCGTGAGCTACTAATGTTGTGTGAGCTCAATATAGAACAGTAAAATGCACGGATACTTCACGCTAACGATAGTTATTTAACATTCAATACTGTTTATTTGCAGCAAAAATACAGCGTTTCTCTGATATCAGTGTAAATGTTGTTTTTTGCGTCAATCTGAAATTTGTTGGCGTAGTCTTACGCTTGTGATCATGCTCTATTACTTCTAGCTTTTACGTTTACAAGATTGCATCATCTTCTCATATATATGCAATACAGAAAGCGTTCTATTTGTACCACATCTCAACAATAACCCGTAATGATAGCTTCACCTGCACTTTTCCAATCTTTGTGAGGTGCGAAAGAGCAGTGTCAATTGTACCTAAAAACTACTTTCGGAGGGCTGTCGCTTTTTCTACGCAGCTTCACGTCCCAGTTACTATGTTGATCATTGCCCTTTGGATCAAACCAATTCACCTAGTCTCTTAAACTTAAGGCCGTTGATACACATTGGATGCTAGCCTTGTGTTTTGAACCAATGGTCTGATTCCTTAAGCATGAATAAGATAACTGGCCCCTGTGACTAATATTACCTTACTGTACAACGCACACAGAAACATGCATTCGTTGCACTAGACAATTTTGTGTTATTGTGTAAAAACAGGAGCGCAGATTTCTGATAAGAATTAGTTATGAAATCTGGTTCACCTGTGCAGGACACCAGGTGAGCATGAGAAAGAGCCAACTTTCTAAACAACAAAAAATAACAACTTTATTTTTCTTTTGTTTCCAGTTTAGTGGACAGGACAATAGTTTGCACTGTAAAAGTCAGTGGAAGAGTGAAGGAGCTCGGAGTCGAAGTTAGAAGGTTCACAACAGGAGGTCACGTCTTGTGTGCAGTGATACACCGTCCAAACGCGAGAACAGAGGAAAAAGGGAATAGAAATAATGCAGTCGCAGTCATCAGTGTGAAGAGCACCGAGTAGACAGATCGGAAGCGATGAAGTTGCGGCAGTGGCGGAAATAATCTCGTTTTAATTTACACAGCTCTATCTCGCTATCGAAACGAGGCGAGTGATTTAGCTCTTGGACTTGCCGAAGGTGTAGGCGGTGGCTGGGACCTCAATTGGGGTTGGCGTTGAGGGTCACATCAGCTGGGTTCTCAGCCTTGGTGCCTGGCTCGTTGGTGTCGATAGACACGCGGAAGCCCTGGTCGTCAGCGACGTAGTTGGCGGTACGGTAGACCACCGTCTGGGGTCTGGTAGCTGTAGCTGCCGTCTTGAAGTTCCTCTCGTCACCGGTCTCCTGCTGGCTGATGCGGCCACCGTCCTCACCAGTAGAGTCGTAGCTGAAGGTGTATGGCTGGGCAGGCTGTGAAAGTAACGAGCAGTGGCATAAGAAAACGCTAGCATGAAGCAATACACAGGCTTTACGCAATAACATGCTTAGTTGGACATGTTACTAAACAAACTTACCGTACTAACAATATTATTTTCGTGATGTAGCGTACTTTAATAAGCACTGCTTTGGGGAAGCTCCACATTGACAATTATTATCTACGCAACCTAGTTGTCAGCAAAGTTTTAAGGTAACTCTTAATGTTGCTACGTAATCAGCCTCAGCTACCTATCACTATTGCCGCTTTTTAGTTTCTACGAGAAATGCAGAATTGCTGTGCTCTTTCATTAAATCTTGAACCTATATGACTTATTCTCTCTTTAAAAGCGGTACTTCTTTGAAATTGGGCATATAGCTGCTTATTGGCAGCTGTGAATTTTCTTTTAAATTTTAACTACTTTGAAAGGAGGTCAAGATTTAGCTTTCCAGCAAAACAGGAACCTTATTTGTATTTTATATGTGTCATTATGACTCTTGAGCAAATGATACCCGATACTTCGGTTAAAAGGCAACAATCCACCAGTAAACATCTATGCAATTACGCTATCGTGTAATAACAGAACTAAATCAGTGAAGACAAAACCTACGTAATTCTCCTGGAGCTGGACCTGGGCGGCAGCAATGGCCAAAAGGCCAAGGAAGGCAACCTGCGAAAGATCAACAGGTCAATGATGTTAGCTTTCTTTGTATCCGTTCACCCATGGTCGTCGAACATTGTAATCTGATCCGTGGTGACACAGGATCTCTTTCTTCTTATATGTTCCTTCGTGATTCAGTCCGATTCCTACCTGCCACGCATCGTCGAATGGGCTCCTTGTGTCCGATCGGCCGGATGTAAGAGGAAGATGTGGTAGACGATGGGCGATGTGCGGCGTTTTTATAGGCATGAGTTGAAGCGTGGCGCTAAGGCCATCTTCCAGAAGCGCCGCCAAGAAGGACCGGACATCACGTACGCGATGATGGAGAGGAGGATGAACGAAGATCCCCTTCGATGAGCCACGAATCACGGTGGGCGAAGGGGCGCTCCGACAAGCCAGCAACAGCGGCGACCGTAGTGGCTGGAAGCGGAACAACCCTTTCACTCGTGGACTCTCTCTCAATCGCCGAGGTGGTGAAGCCGAGTGCAGCGGAGACTACGTGTCCTTGAGGACAGCTCTAGCGTCCAGCAATCGCTATTGAATATCAGTCTTGAGTTAATTTTATTATTTTTACCACCGCGTCCGCGCTTCCTCGCAGGACCTGTTAGGACGACAAGCCCAGCCTAGCAATGAGTACTGGCCTCCCGGCTTCTCGTCGCTGTGCGCGAACAGGCCTGGCCGCTGTCGAGAAAAACCGTGACTCGTCCAATCCTCAAAACGAGACTGTGGAATTCAAAGAGAAATAAATGAAAGATGCACGCGAAGGTGGTGGCGTGTTTGAAAAAGATCTCTCGGACCTCATGACACCTAAAGACGTGAAAAAAAAAGATATGTTTTCCGAGAAGAAAAATAAAAATAAAAGAAGAAAGCGCAGCTGAGTTTCCAGGAGGCAGGATTATAAGCAAGGTGTCAGGACGGAGTTGAAATGCAAGCACTTGTTTGTTTTTTGTAGCTCCAGCGGCCTGACTGAGCCTGAGGGGAAAACGGTTGCTAACATAACTCCGGTTCACTGGCGCATCGCAATGTACATAACGGTTGAGCGATACAGGCGCTGCGTGATCGGAGTTTCCGATGGGGACGGCTGAGCAGGATGCCACCGGTGAAGCTGCCCCCCGCCGTTCTATCTGTGCAGGGTTGCTCTGTAATAATATCTGACTAACCTCAATTACATGAGAACATTTTATTAAATGGCAAACCATGAAAAAGAGGTTAAAAAGCTTTCTTAGACAGAAAATTTCCGCATAGTAAATTTAATATGAAAGAAATACCCGATCATGTTTGTAGTTCACTGAGAGCGGAAAGTGAAGTAGACCGGAAATGCATTTGTGGAACAATAAGTACTAGCGCTTTGTTATCATGAATCTATTTTTTTACTGTAGAAATGATCGGTTGCGGTGACGTGAAAGCAAAGTGTGACAGACGACTTACGCAGGTTTACCCCATGTACGCTAAAATTCACTTGCCTACTGACACATCCTTGGCTGCATAACTAATCCATTGAAGCTTTTCTTTAATGTGTTAAGGACATTTCATTAGAGATGGTTCTATATCATTACATTCTTAGTATTTATTTTATTTATAAAACAGGAGCTGTGAGCTGTAAACTTTAAAAGACATCCTATTGAATTCTTATGACTCGTACGTTCAAGAGGCTTAAACATATCGCAGAGAAAAACGTTAAACTCATTGAGGCAGATTTACCAAAATGTGTTAGTGTATCATTCTCGCCATCATTCACAACAGAAAAAGAAAAAAAAACATTAATTTAAATGTATTTTGTACATCGAGAATTCTATGTACACAATGTGAACTGAAGTGTCTCAGGAGGTCGGAATACAGCGTAATATTCGAGTGGGTTCCAATTCACTGGGATTCGAACGAAATGAAATAGTGGACGTAATGTGGCAGCAGCTCACGATTATTCGGTAACCGGCATCGTTTCCACTCTACAAAAAGACATACACCACCTCCTAGGTGGACTACGGGGAAACTCCTTTCACTTTACATTCAAGGTGGAACGCGACAGTCTGAATGGGTCCTGCTCGCATCATCTCTGCACTCAATTCCCAGGCATCGTATCTCAGAGCACATCTCTGCCGCACAACGAGGGCGAGGAAAGAAGCGTGATCCATGCATGTAAAATTGTTTCACTGCCCCAGAATGTCTGCGGTAGGTAGCGTTATGAAGTGTCCGTCACGCCATACTTCATCATTTTTGTAAACTAGCGAACTCAGTATTACCTGACACCAAAGCGACACAGACACACAGGTGCACATTTTGTTGATGGTGTGGTTTATTATGAGAATATATTAGGCCACATTGTTTTGTAATGGCTGTGTTTTTAACTCGGGGAATCATTCCACAGTTTACACAGTGTGATGCCTCACACGATTCTACACGTGTGCCGCAAAATACAATATTTCAATTCAACCCCTTGCACTAACTCACATCTGTATAAAATTTCATCCAACGCATTTTGAAGGGCCGGTTCGCCTATGCTGTGAAACACCTGACCGTCACGCCGGATGCCTGCGTTCTTTTGAGGCACGGAAGCCTGATCTTTATAGTTTATTGTTTGCATCCATCACGATTTCCCTTTTACGGAAAACACCTATTTCTCGCCCATGATCAAACTTCTCCAACGCCACATTGTTCACGGCACGATCTGTTTGACGCTATAGTGGTAACATCAATTTTACACGCAGTTGCCCTGCCTCTTGAGTACCTACAAGACCTTCGCTTGTTACGACGCATTGCCAACCTGATACATCGTTTCCGACTTGCAACTTTTTACACGAAGCACGCTTTACTCAGAATTCAACGGGGGTCGTCTACAACATGTTCATGCGGCTATAGCGACAAGGATTTGTATCAGCTGTTGCTTAACTTCCCCATACATATTAAACATGGACAGAGACTTGAACAGCCACTCATTGTAATGAGTTGAGTACGCATAATGTCTCCAGCTAGAAAAATTAGCCCTAGGTCTATAAATATACATCACAAGTCAGTAGAAGTCCCGCGATAATTTTTTTGTAAATGCTGGCATTTTTAGGCCTATTATCGGAACTACATCTAAACCATGGAACAAATTTTTTTTGTAACACGTGTGCCGGAACTTTCATGAAATTTCGCAGATATTCAGTCGGAAAGTAGTTGTGATAGAAACTCACGAATGATCTGCGGGCATCAATCGCCCGAAACACGATGTTCTTCATATTATAGAAAGCGTGAATCTCCGGTGGCATTAGTGGTGAATTCTCGGAACTCGTGAACCACATTTGGTTAACGCATAGTTTGAATCATCTAGATAGAAAATTGAAGAGTGTGGTGGTACTTTGTAGTTTATTATATCTCTTTCTTTTTACAGGAAGAGGAGTAAGAGATGAAGGTTATGTAGCCTGACAGAAGCTCTTACTCTTTTGCGCATTTGGCATGCATACACAATGTTCTGCTGCACGTATCACAATAAAGTATTGGCACGTGTACACTTTTAACTGCAAATAAAGCAATGCAGTTGGGCATCATGCAAGCCTTTCATGAAAACAAACGTATGCAAACACTCCATGAAATTACACATATAACACACAACACTTCATAAAAGAACAAATGTACAAACACTTTATGAAAAGAGACATAGCATGCAAGCACTTCATGAAAAGTAACCTATCGTTCCATCACTTCAAGATTGTGAATCTATATGGATTGAATTCCAAAGTTTCAAACCGTAGCGCAAATCGAAAGAAGAGCACGCCTAAACCGTGCGTCTAAAAGATATTGATAAGTTATCATACAACGTGACGGAACGCTTTCCACATATGGTTTGAAGCACCGTGCGTACAAGTCCATATATTCGTTCCTCACAAAGATGATTAGCCGCGATACTTGATACTCTAGAACATAGTTTGTTCACGTTGTTCATATATATATGATCAACGTGAATAATATATATTGAAGCATGATCAAGCATGAGACTTCATATTATTTGACGCACATTTACAGTGATCCCAAGTGAACAAGAGATTATCACATCAGTAGGTTCATGTATATCGTTGGGTCCGTATAGAAGGAGAGCACTTCAGCTCTTAACAAGGAACGGCTGCTAAAGACGAACAGCGAAAAACATAGTACGCAAAATACCCATTCCATCAGTCAGCATTTCCTGCCCGCCTTTTTCCGCGCTGGCCCATAAAGTGTACAAGAATTCATTTGGCTCGAACAAAAGCGTTACAGCCGAATGAAAGAAGCGTGCTATTTTATTCATTTTGTTCATTATAATCTCCTGAAAGACTTCTACATCGGAGCATTCTGTGAGATACAGATTGCGCAAGTAAGGGTATGAGGAGCAGGAGAACAGTGTAGTTAAGCTCATTCACAGTTGGTACAAAACACTTAAAAGTAAAAGAAGCTTGTACAACAGTCATTAGGACACTGATATTTAGAAATATGGCCATTATTTCGTCCCCTAAATTGGCTGCACAACGGATTAATAAAATTTAGCGATTCTACTTGTATGCGTAGGAGGCTTCGCGGTTTATTTAAACGACGTGAGGTGCAATAAGGTTGTACGAGAGGCAGCATTATAGGATTTTCTCTTCGCATGATATTATAAAATCAGCGAATCAACTCAGTGATGGTTTTAGTGTATGGAATCGAAACGTGAGTGCAACTTTCAATCACCCCAAAAGAAATAATTAAACGATGAAAAAAGGACTACGCGAGACGTGTGGTATAAATAATAATAATAATAATGATAATAATAATAATAATAATAATAATAATAATAATAATAATAATAATAATAATAATAATAATAATAATATAATAATAATATAATAATAATACATATATTAATATATTTTGTGTGGTTCTGCGTCTCAAACAAAGGTATTATTATGAGAGCCGTGCGGCAGGAATCTGAACACTTTGACCCTCTGGTGTTCTTTATCAGGCGCTGACATTGCAGAGTAAACGGGCCTCTGCCGTTTCCACTCCCTTGAAATGCGACCACTACAAGCCCGATGAAACTCATGAGGTTCAGGTCAA